TGAACAGAGGAGCAGCCTGCCAGCAGAAGCAGATGCAGCAGCAGTTCTCCAAAGCCAGCTTTCAGAGAGGGGTCAGTATCAAGACATTTCTTTTTGTGACCTGATGATGGTGACAAGCCTTCAGTTTTACCTGCCTTTGCCCACTTCTTTGTGCTTCCAGTGGTAACTAGGAGAGATGGATGAGTTTAACAATGAATGTAGTCCTAGAAAAGTGTTTGCAGGCAACTTTTAATGCAGCTTAATATTCTGGCAGCTGGAAAACAAAAGCTAGGCAGGGCAAAATAAATTCACCCCATACAAATCACTGGACACAAGATTAGCAAATTTCTTGTCAACATGCAAGGACAGAGCTAGTCATGTACCAAAGGAAATACTTGGAAAAGGAATCACTGTTTATCAGAGCTAATTCTTTATGTCATTTTTTTAAAAATGTATTTCACAGCGGATGGATGCTAATGGACAAGGGAAACCACCAAGGATGAGAAGGTAATTGGTGAACAAAGGCACACAGCAAACACAACATGCTCTTTCACGCTTGAATGGAAGCTGGATACATCTCCCTGTCTCAGCAGGTGGCAAGTGAAACCCAGCCCTGCAGCAGTTCTGACGGTGTCTGTGGCTAATCCCTGGGCAGGCCAGGGCAGCATGTAAGTAAATGTGGTGATCTGTTGGGATGGGAGCCCTACAAAAGCCATTGCAAATCCCTTTAGCATTATTGCAGCTTCGCTTCTTCTCTAATGACTGCACAAGGTTCAGACCCAGAATGGTGAGCAAATGGTGTCTCAGTCCTTTCCCCGTGTATCTGAAAAGAGACAGTAAGTACCGTGCAGGTCATTATCCAGGGGAAGGAGGAAGGGAAGCACCAGCAGTGCACGGGAGAGGTCAGGCTGGTTGTGCTGGCTCAGAGATTTTGCAGGGGACACACTGTGTGCCCCAAGGGGACACTGCACAGCACAGAGGCAGCAAGGGGCAAGGTTGAGCGGGGGCAGCTGCAGGAGCTGGCACCCAGCTGAGGGCAGAAAGAAGGGTGGGTGAAGGCATTTGGCATGTCCTGGGCTCAGGTCACCCGTGGTAGCCTTGACATGAGGCAGTGCCAGTGCTGGCACTCTGCCTGCACAGCAGCTCTCTGGCACCCTTTAGATTCACCCAGGCTGCCACGAGACAAAGAGGGTGTGCGGTTTGACTCCTTTGCTGGTTTGCAGCTGATGGGAAGTGAGCTGCCCGAGCATCCCGAGTGACTGCAGATCTGTGCTCTCCCCAGGCCCGGATCCAAGCGCCCATTCCTGCGGAGCCAGAGGCCCCCGCCGCGGGCGGCCAAGCCCCAACCCAAGGGGGTGCTGCTGAGATTCAACTTCCGTGCCATGGCCAACCAGGTAGAGGAGAGTCGACGGGCCAGGCCACACCTTGCACCCTGCAGCAGCCCTGCCACTAAGCTGTTAACGTCACGCTCAGGTTGCTGGGGCTGCCAGCTGGGTTTGTCTAGCATAACCCAGGAGGAAAGTCCCGTAGCCGTGTGGGCCAGGTTGCTAACAAAACTGAAGGCACCTGAGAAGACCGTTCAGCAACTAAAGACTCAGCCCAGTTTTCACCGTTCTGTTCATCCCTCTTGGCCTGTCCGTGTGCTTTCCTGGAGCGAGAAGATGCTCCTTGTGAGCAGTCCTGACCAGGGGAGACGTTTTCACTGTCAGTGCTCCCCACTCCTCAGGGACACACAGCACTTCTGGGCTTTGCTCTGTCCTTGCTTTGGTGACCTTTTTCGTGCCATGTTTTACACTGAAGTGTGGTCCAAGAGCCCTGGGGCAGGTCAGAAATCCTGCTCCAGCTTCTTCATTGCCCGTGTTTCCTGTCTGGTCAGTTTGGTCTTACTTGATGCCTTGTGCTCAAATGCCATCTGCTTGCTCCTGTTCTTGGCAAGGACACCCGGAGTCTCGGGGCTGGGCGCTGCTTGGAGGTTTGGCAGCCACACACAGTCTGTCAAGCTCCTTGTCTCCATGTGCTGAGTGATTTAATTGACTAACTGGCTGTGAAGCACCGTCCTGACTGATGGGCTCTAATCAATACCCTGCTACAAGTTTGGCTGTGCTTTGCCAAAGGGACACGGGACTGACTCACTCTCCCTTTCCCCTGCAGACCAGCCTGACGCTGGATGAGAGGTTCTCTGGTCTGAGGAATAAGAGGCGCTTTACAGCAGCCAGGAGTGCCGGCCGGACGGTCACCATGCCTTAGCACCACATGCTCATCACAGGGACTGCCCAGAACAGTCCGTGCCCCGTCATGGGCAGCTCAATAAAACTCAATAGATTTCCTCCGAGATGGCTGATTTGGCAACGCGCTGTCTCCTTCCCTTCCTTGCACGCAGAGTGAGTGAGTGAGTGAGGGCAGGAATGAGGCAGGATGAGAGTCAGGGCAGGTGGGACGTGAGCAGGGTGGTAGAGCAGGATGAGCGGAGATGGATCTGCTAAGAGAGCTGTGCTGGGGAGCTGGCAGCAGCCTCATCCCCCTGCCAGGACACCCTGTGCTGCCAGGGGTGACTCCTGCAAGAGGGAGGGGGGACCAGCTCCAAGCTGTACCCATGGAGCTTTCCCTTCATTGTCCCATGGGTGGGAGAGGGTTGAGGACAGCGCTCCTGCCTGTGTAGGAGACGGAGTGGGGAGCCGAGCGCACACGTGGCTAAGGGATGTTCCCCAGCAGTGGCACCAGTGGAGATGCTCCAGCTGCTGGCATTCCCCAGCATCCACCTAATTGCCTCATTCCTTGAGTGTGCAGGCATCCCTGCCTGGAGCTGTGCAGCATAGTACCCCTCCGTCCTGAAGACCATTCCCTCTGCTCCAATGGACAGGCCTTGCATTTCTCTTTGGTTTGCTGTGCTGTTCTGACTGGTGCTGCCAGCCCAGTTGCAGGGACAGGGTAAGGTGTGCTGTGCCTTGGTGCCAGAGTGACTGTCTTCAACATGGAGCATGGGCAGGTTCTCCCAGCCCAAATCAGGTTTTCCCGTGTGGCAGTAGTTCTGCATTAGGGACTGTGGAGGTGCAGTTCCCCCATGCTCAAAGCACCAGTATAATCAAACCAGCAGCTGCAGGAGGGAGGCCAGGCTCTATAGCAGTCTGAGATGTTAATGAGCTGGGTCTAGACGAAGCCCTGCACTAACCATGAGTCACTGATCCATTCTCCACCCACTGCTTCAACCCAGCACTGAGCATGCTGGACACAGCCTGTTACTGGGCTCAGAGCTCTACTTAAAGTAAATATTTGATAGAATGCTTAACATTTTACACTGAGCATCTTTAACAAGAGGCTGAACTCACCGTTGGTTTTACAGGAATGTGTGAAATGTTGTTAGTGGCCTGAGCGGTGATGTACGAGTCCAATACACTGAATAAAAAACTAACTTGTTAACTGTCACCTCTGGTTATTTCCCTTCCTGCAACAGGCTTTTGATGCAAGTTTAGCTTCTCAGCAGGGCACCGTGGGGCACAGTATGTTTGGCCACATGGCCTGTCACCTCAGAGCTTTGGAAGAGGCCACGGTCCCTTGTCAGTGCCCATCTGTGGGCAGCAGGGCACTGGCCTGGCCACCCAGGCAGCTTGCAGAGCTGCCTCCCAAGCACAGCCAAAGCAGTGGGATGTTTTCAATAGGTATTTTGTAAAATCTTTGCTATGATTAATTTTTACCTTTAACATGATTGGCAAAATTGTCAGAGCAGACCTGGCTCTGAGTAGTCCAAAGTGAAACAAATGTAAACTGACTTCCAGGTTCATGAACTCAGGGGAAGACTTCACCCCTTCATGCAAGTATTCAGGATGTCATGGAAGATAAACAAGAAATACTGTAAAAAAATGGCAATATCCCTGATTTCAGTTACACATCAGTATTGACAAAATATGATAGACTGGGTAAGAAAACTTGGTCGTTTCTCAAAGCAAAAGGATGGAACCGTTTGGTCCTGAAGGAAGAGCTGAGTGCTCAGCATCCCCTCAGTGTTGGGACCACACTTTGATACTATTCTCCAAATACATGTTCTTTAGCAATCTGCACTTTATATTTTTTTTAAGGACTCCTTACATTAAAATTGAGGGCTTAGTGATAAGAACTACACCATTTTTTCCAGCTGGATTTCTCCACAGGGCTGCGTGCCCGCGCATGCAGCAAGAGCTGAACCAGGCACTGCACACAAGGGCACTGCCTTTAGAAGTGACAGAGCATAACCCCCGTGCTAAAAACACACTGGGAGAGGGCACAAAGTCAGTTCACTCCAACAAGCATAAAGTACCCCTTTCTGCTGCAGCACTAAAACCACAGAATCATTACCTCTAAAATAATCCCTGCTGTCGTGCCCAAGCCAGCTGCTGTGGAGAGCCTGGCTGCTCTCTGGAGGGGGTGTTTGTGTGACACAGCTCAACGTGCCTCTCTAACCCTCTCCTGGGAGATGTGTCTGTCCAGTGGGGGCCGTTTCGGACTGTTCTGGTGGCAGTGTCTGGCTGTCCCCTCCCAGGGAGGTGGCAGCAGCCGCCTGTTGGCTGAGCCCCTCACCAGGGTGGCTGCTCTCAGGCTGGGGCCACCAGGAAGGGGCAGCTGTGCAACCTGGAAAACATTTCTAACCCGCTCCAGGCCAGGCAAAGCCGTGTCCAGAATAACACCTCTGATGGTGTCTGAAAGGTTTAAAAATGCAAGAGCAACTGGACAAGGTCAGAAGAGAATCCTGGAGCCCCAGGCACGTGGCCCCAGCAGGTCACTGCACTGAACCCACAGCACCAGTGATTTCTTTCTTGAGCCACTTGTATTATTGTGTTTAACAGCATTTGATGGGGTTTTCTTCCATTATTATATTTTGCTGCTTATTTTTTGTCTGTGCCTCCAAAGGCTGGTATTATGAGTGAATATTCATTCCTTTACACCCTTTGCAACATATAGACTGGTGCTGTGTTCCCCCTCGTTCACCTCCTTTCTTGGTGTACCTACTTGTCTGCTGCCTGCAAGCAAATCCATCCCCCTGGTCACCTTTGTTCCTTTTCTAGCTCTGCTGCATCTGTGTGAGACAGCAGGGCTGAAGCAGGACACATGACATTTGAGATGGGTTAATAGGGAGGATCTGCCTTGTTTTCTGTTCCTTTCCTAATAATTCCTTACATTCCAGATGCTTTTAAAACCAGAACAGCCACTTGCTACCCCAGCACAGTTCCAGGGAAAGGCTTTACCATGGTTTCCTAGAGGACCAGAAAAACTAACAGCATCCCCCAAGGCAGCCCCAGGCAATCCCAGCCCCTCCAGTTGAGATCTTGTAATGAGCAGGATGCCCTGCTTTCATGGCCAGTGCTGCTCCAAGCCAGTGTTGGCTTTGTCAGGAACCTGTGCCCTGCACTAGGTACAGAGACTTGGCTCTGCTTTGTACCCTGGAAAAGAGAATAAACTCTTCCAGACTTCAGCTAATGGGCCTTTAACTTCCATTTGCAAGGGATTTATTTTTCCTCAATGAAGATTTAGTTCCCTGTATTCTTATCCCCACAGTTCAACTGGATCAACACTGACCACTTTCATAGGCAACACAATGTAAAATACTAAAATATGGAAGTAAGAGGAACAGAAAAATCAGATTTGGGATTTATCCACCCAAGATCAGGGATTTAGGATTTAGTATTAAGCCCTGTCCTAAAGCAGATCCTTCATAGCTATGTCAGGACTGCTGCCAGCTCTCATGATTTTACTGAAAATCCTGTGATGTTTAATGGTGCAGTTAAAACCCTTGTTCCTGGAGGCAGGTCAGGGAGTGAAAATCTCAGCTTGCCTGTATTAAAAAGTCAATTTGCAATGCTGTGGCTGTGCGAGGAAGACTGTGACCCCAGAGCACCTTAAAAGCTTGGGCATCAGATGCCAGAAAAACAAGGAACCTCTTAACTATTTCTTTTTTCCAATTTCATGTTTCTAAGTCAACCTCATGATGTTTGGAGCTTGACTCCAAATGTGCAGAGCACACTGCTGGGTAAGAATTAATCCTCAGTTACATCTCATTGTGAATGGAAAACTGTGCCACCACCAGCATTTGGAGACCTTTGTCCCCACATCCCCCACTGTGGCAGCACTTTGCTGCTCTGCAGTAATGGCCCCAGCTTGTTGCAGAAGGACATCTGCCTGAGAAAGATGAGATTTGCTTTTTCCTAAGTCAAGGCTGGAGAAGATGTTCAATTCTAAATCACAACAGGCTGTAACAATGAACCCTCCTCTTGCTGGGCTCTAGGAAGAAGATGACAGGGGTTGGGCTGCCCACTCTGTGCCCTCAGATGAGCAATGGCACTGTTGCTCTCAGGCTACCCATCCCTGGAGGCTCAGGATGTCCCTGACCCTGGCCATGGATCAGGAAGGTGCACTGTGGGGTAAAGATGGAGTGTGGTGACTGGCAGGGGGGACCCAGACTAGGGTGGGAAGTGAAGCCAAGTACTGAGGAGGGAGGGGAGCTGGTTTATGTTGTCTAGGAGTTTATTTACAGATTCTAAAGTCTCCCCTGTCTGTTGCAAAGCCAGAGCTTTTTATCATTCTTGCCAGGAGCATTCATAAACCTCGTGGAGCCTTCTGTGTTACTAGCAATGCCAGCAACAGGTAAAGATCTTCACTTGCTTTGTCCCCACACTGACTGTCCTTGGAGAAATAAGGGGCTGCCAGAGCTGAGGGGCTTGGCACCCACAGGACCTGGGGCAGGCAGGCTCTCCTTCCACTGCTGCCAGGGGCATCCACCACCCTCTGCTCTGAAGACCCTTCCTAGCTTCAGTTTTCATTCCTAAATGAGTTTGTGGCCATCTCTGCCTGTTCTGGAGGCAGCCTTGTCCTCTGCTGAAATGGCTTTTCCCTCCCTGCTGTCCTCTGTTCCCCCAGGAACGTAGTAGGCTGAAGTCCCTTCCCAGCCTGCATTTTCTTGAGCACTTGAAGTTGCCTCTCTCAGCAGAGTTCTCCCAGCCCTATTAAGAGCTCTTCTCAAACCCCAAAACAGAAAATCCCCAGTCCTAACACCCTGGTTGAGTCCCAGTTTCCATCCCTACAGTTATGTAGTTGTAACGCTTCTGTGATTTGGGAAAGAACTTGTGAAAAACCTCACCTGATGGAGGACTGGGCTGAAACATCCTTAGAGGTCTGGGTCTTCTCCAATAACTCTAGGTATGCAGAAGCCTGTGGCTTTCTTAGCCTATATGGATTCAGGCTAGGGAAGAAAATATGGTCTGATGTGCAAGAAGCCTTGG